AGTTTTAACTAGATTTCTCTTTATATTAATTTATTTGTAATTCTGTTAATTATATTAGCATATTTATAATTATAAACCATCTTTACATTTAATTCATGCACAGCAATAATCTTTCTTCGTCTCACTTGGGTAATCTGTAAGAAATTTTGTTTATATATAGCACGGCATAGCAAACAAAGAGCACAGTCACCATGTGCTTTACTGCTCAACTGTTTTAACTGTTAACAGGAAACTCTACTTAGAACAAAAGAACATAGAAGATATACCATAGATCCAAACTTGTAAAAGCTGCCATCTACTGGCTGAATACCTCTGAAGGTTGTTGCATAAAACTGCATCATAAAACTTTGCCTTTGACACAAGAATCTCACTTTCTCCAGCTTGGTGTTGGCTTTCAATTTTCTAGAGGAGACAGACGAGTTTATCCTTCCTTCTTCCGGATTAATCCCAAGGAATTTCCTCAATATGTGGGTTTGGTCCAGCTCCTCCTGCATTTCCAGTGGAACTGGGTTGGGCTGATTGCCTCTGAAGATGACAGTGGAGAACACTTCATCTCATCTCTGAGGCCAATGCTGAAGGAGAAGGAGATCTGCCTGGTCTTCATTGCAATGGTGACAACTGACCGTATTACTACACAATTAATTTCAAAATTGCAACTTATTTTCAAAACTTGGTTTACAGCTGAAGTTATTATTGTGTTTGGAGACATCAATGGTGTTACTAGTGTATTGGCAGCTGTGTATCGTTATGTACAAGGGACAAAGACATCATTTCAAAGAGTTTGGATTTTAACATCCCATTGGAATCTTAGCGTGGTGGGAATCAAGTCAATATTGCAGGTTATAAAGTCCTTCCATGGGGCTTTGCATTTTAGGGACCACACTGGGGATGTCCCAGAATTCAGGCATTTCCTTCTGTCTTTAGACCCTTTGAATCCACAGGGGGATGTCTTCCTCCCTCTATGGTGGGAGAAGGCCTTTGGCTGCAAGATCCACAAACCAGGCGAGATCCCTCTAAAGGGGAAAAAACCATGTACAGGAAAGGAAAATATACAGAACCTTCCAACTTACATATTTGAAACAAGCATGTCAGGTGAGAGTTACAATATCTACAATGCCATTTATGCTGTGGCGCATGCATTGCATGCCATGCATGGATCTGCAGTGAGACCAACCATGATGAGGCTTGGAAAGAAGATTTCAAATATCCAATCATGGAAGGTAATCCTGGGCACCTTTTCTCCAATGCATAGATCTTGAGAGAGGAATCTTCCCATTCGTATTTCCTGAATTAATGATCAAAAGCCTTTATGCTACCATGTCAAAACAGTTCAGAACAGAATGAAATAGAAATTAGTTAAAAAACAATAATACAAATAAAATATAATTCTGGTGGTCGGTGTGTGAGTATTTGTGTGTTGTTTTGTTTTGTTTTTCGTTTTTTTGAAAAGTGGTAGAGTGGAAAAAAGAGAAGTCAACCAAACCAGCTCCCCATCAGATCCATAGAAGAAAGACCTTCCTATATTGTCTTAAAATTCATCAATTGTTGGCTGAATGTTTGGGGGGTGGGGGTCACCATTCCAGAGAGGAGGTGTCAGCCCAGAGCAAGCTGACAATCTGGGTACATTGTGTCATCAGATATCGGGCTCATATTACCATATGTGGTGGACATGTGTAGAAGCCAAAAGATATTGGGCTAAAATCCACACATGGTTGGAAAAAATGACAAAGAAACACATTGACTTTAAACCAGAGATATTTTTATTAGGGATTTTACCAGAAACATATAATAGAGAACTGCAATATTTGATTGTGAATGTTTTAACAGTGGCTAGAATTGAATTTGCTAAAAAATTGGAAAAAGGAGGAAATACCTACGGAAGAGGAAGTTATTAAGAAAATTATGGAATGTGCTGAAATGAGTAAACTGACATTTGAAATTAGAGAACAGGAAGATAAACAATATTATATGATATGGGATTTATTTTATCAATGGTTAGATAATAAAGCATGGAAATGAAATATGAAACATGACATAAATGCAATATATATGAAAAGGTTCTTTAAGATGGGATGGAAATGCTATTGTTAAATAAATGATAAATGAGAATAATAATAATATAAAGAGATACAACAGATTGACAAATCTGAGACATTAGATAATTAATGAACTATGAATATGGAATTAAGCACAAAAGATTTTTAACCGATTGACACACTTTCTGTAATTGGATGATTTGTTTTATGTTCTGTTTAAAAAATAAAAAAAATTTTTAAAAAAATCTGGGCACATTGTGCAAGAAACATCAATGGGCTAATTGACCTCTGAGTGAGCTTGTATACATAGTCACTTTCTCTCAGCATGTAAGATGAGGGAAGGCGAGGCAGGGGAAGGCAAGAGAAGGGAAGGGAACGGAAGGGAAGGGAAAGGAAGGGAAGGGAAGGGAAGGGAAGGGAAGGGAAGGGAAAGGAAGGGAAGGGAAAGTAGTTATCACCCAGCAGGAAGGGAAGGGAAGGGAAGGGAAGGGAAGGGAAGGGAAGGGAAGGGAAGGACTAGCAGTTCAAAAGCACATAGAAAAATAGGGACCACCTTTGGTGGGAAGGTAACAGCGTTCCATGCACCTTTGGCGTTTAGTGGTGCTGGCCACAGGACCACAGAGGCGTTTTAGGACAGCGTTGACTCTTCAGGATTGAAACAGAGATGAGCACCTCTCCCTAGAGTTGGGAATGACTAGCACATATGTGCAAGGGTAACCTTACCTTTACCTTTAAAATTCATTTGTCATTTACAAGACCTCGGGCAAAGAAAACATTTCAGAATCCATATAGCCCTGTATCACAAGAGCAAGACATACAAAGTATTTTTGGAATGTGGCCTTAAAATCTTTGTATGTAGATATCATGATGTAAACCTGAAGAGGAAGAAGCTATGATACAAATGCCCAATGATAAACAGAAACTTTGTAGTGTTGGGGAAGGAGTCAAATATTGTTACTTCTGATTGCTGATATCGGCACCAAAAACCTACTCTAGCATTCCAGACAGGGGTGCTATTCAGCAGGTTCTAACAGATTCTAGAGAACTGGTAGCGGAAATTTTGAGTAGTTCGCAGAACCAGCAAATACCACCTCTGGCTGGCCCCAGAGTGGGGTGGGATTGGAGATTTTACAGTATCCTTCCCCTGCCACACCCACCAAGACACGCCCACAGAACCGATAGTAAAAAAAATTGAATTCCACCACTGATTCCAGACATACACCCATCTTCTAAGATGATGGCCAGGACAGAATGAGAGAAGCCATGATGACTCATTTGTGGCTTTCACTCAATTTCAGAAGGTCACTTTTGTTTCAGATTCTTCCCTATCTGAGGGACGTCCAGTTCAATAACAGTGCTGGAGAGGAAGTCTCCTTCTCAGAAGATGGATGGGAGTCTTCTCATTATGATCTTCTCAATTGGGCTTTCCTCCCCAATCAATCTTTTGTCCCCAGGAAAGTTGGTGGAATCGATCCCAGGGCTCCCTCAGGCCAGGATTTCACCATTAACTCCGATTCAATCATCTGGATCACAAAGGTAAACTGGAAGGAAAAGTTGTAAAATCAGGAAATTATTTTTCTTTCTCTCCTGGAGATGCAGAAGATCCTTCGAACTGTAAAAGCACCCGGAGGCTCCAACTGGTCCAGAATGTGGCCGCGCGGGTGGTTATGGGCGCAACTCGTTGTGCCCACGTGACACCCCTCCTCCGCGAGCTGCACTGGCTCCCAGTGGTCTTCCAGGTGCAATTCAAGGTGCTGGTTACCACCTTTAAAGCGCTCCATGGCATTGGACCTGGGTACCTTCGAGACCGACTTCTGCCACCAATAGCCTCCCACCAGCCAGTCCGCTCCCACAGAGAGGGTCTCCTCAGGGTGCCATCGGCCAAGTCATGTCGGCTCGCGACACCCAGGGGGAGGGCCTTCTCTGTGGGAGCCCCTGCCCTGTGGAATGAACTGCCCCCGGAAATACGTAAGATCTCCAATCTCCGTGTATTTCGCTGTGCCCGCAAAACCTTGTTGTTCCGCCAGACCAGGCTATCAATGTAAAGATTTTAATTGGTTTTAAATGTGGGATTTTAAATTTGGGGGTTTTATAATTGAGCCAATTATTTAATAATTTTAATTATTTTTAAATTTTGTCTGTCTTTGTGCTTTTAATCAGGCTGTACACCACCCTGAGTCCTTCGGGAGAAGGGCGGTATAGAAATTAAATAAATAAATAAATAAATAAATAAATAAATAAATAAATAAATAAATAAATAAATAAATAAATAAAACATATATATATATATATATATATGTAGGTCTTTGGTTATTTGGGTTTTCTCCCGCGTAAAATTGGAGGTTTCTTGGCGACGTTTCGACGAAGTCTCATTCGTCATCTTCAGGCTGGTATATATATATTGAATCAGAAAATATGGCAGCCATGTTGTGAAACATCTGGTTATTGTGTAAGAAATTTGAGGTTTGGTTGGCTTCAGTCTGCAAGATTTGGAATTAGGAAGAACCCAAATCCAGCAGGCAATAAAAGCAGACAACTGTGATTTCTGTGAAATATTCCCATTTAGTTGGATCCTTCCGATTCTTTCTTTTTTTAAAAAAATGTAGCTCAATATCACAAACCTTTCTTTTCTTGCTGATTTCCAGCCTCCCTTGGTGGGTTCTGAGTGTCATTGGCCTGAATCAGCCAGGAGCTGTTCCTAGTTTTGTGTAGACCATGATGAACCATTTCTTTTGAAGACATGAATAAATGAGGCATGTTGATTGCTTAAGTCTTCTTACACTTTTTCTTTTTGTGTTTTAGAAGGTGCCCTTTGCCAGGTGTGGCATGAAGAGGTGCCAGGCAGGAGAGAGGAGAAGAGTTCCAGAGGGCAACCGAGTTTGCTGCTACGAATGTGACCCTTGTCCAGGAGGGACCATTTCTAATCAGACAGGTAGGGCACTCCTTAAATGTAGATCTTCCAGGATGATGGACTTCGGTAGAACAAAATATTACTATTTTGTCATTTGGGTAGGATTGACATACATACTTTTGATTTCAGATGCAGCCCACTGTGACCCTTGCCCAGAAGACCAATATCCAAACCAAGAGAAGAATCACTGCATTGAGAAGAAGGTGCACTTCCTTGCATATCAAGATAACTTGGGACACGCTTTAGTTTCTCTCACTCTTTTCCTCTCTGTGACCACATCTTCAGTCCTGGTGATTTTCCTTAAACATCGTGAGACACCCATCGTCAAGGCCAACAACCGAGATCTCACCTACATCCTGCTGGTCTCCCTCCTGCTATGCTTCCTCTGCTCCTTCCTCTTCATTGGTCGACCCACAAAGCTCACCTGTCTCTTCCGACAAACTGCCTTTGCCATTCTCTTTTCACTCGCGGTTTCCTCTGTCTTGGCAAAAACTGTCATGGTGGTTCTGGCCTTCATGGCCACCAAACCAGGAAACAAGTCAAGGAAACTCTTAGGAAAACCACTGACCAGCTCCATTGTCTTAGCCTGTCCCCTGGTCCAAGCACTTCTTTGTGCCACCTGGCTGATAACCTCTCCCCCATTTCCCAACATGGACTTCCACTCCTTGGTAGGAGAGGCCATCTTGGAATGTAACGAAGGCTCAGCTTTGATGTTTTATGCTGTCCTTGGTTATCTAGGTTTCCTGGCCTTCATCAGTTTAACAGTGGCCTTTCTGGCTAGGAAATTGCCTGACAGCTTTAACGAAGCCAAGTTCATTACTTTCAGCATGCTGGTCTTTTGCAGTGTTTGGATCAGCTTCCTCCCCACCTACCTGAGCACCAAAGGGAAGTCCATGGTGGCCGTGGAGATCTTCTCCATCTCGGCTTCTGGGGCTGGTCTCTTGGCTTGTATCTTTTTCCCCAAATGCTTCGTTATCTTACTTAGGCCCCATCTGAATTGTAGAGAAAATATAATGAGGCACAAGAATCTCTGATTTATGCAGAGATTGGGTATCTTTTTTATTTTGGGACATTATTTTATTTGATCTGACTTCTAAAACCATTAAATGAGTGAAGGACTAGTTGTTAGATAATTGGAAATCAACTGATGTCACAGACATCACAGATCATCTATTAATCAGGAACAATCACCCATATTTTTATTTTTTATTAATCCCAGTGATGCCCCATGAACAACTTGGAAATGAGCATTGACATAAACAAAGTGGATATTAGTTTCCAGCACTGCAGTTTACCACTATTTTAATCAAATGTATGTTTGCAAATATGTTGGGTTGGCTTTGCTATTGTTATTTTTAAGCATATTTGATTGCTTTGATCCCTGAGGCCCTCCTACATTTTTTGATTCAAGTGCCTATCAAAATTCTATTAGTTCTACCGTTTAAATGAGCCACATTGTTTTACTCTCTGTTCATGGAATAGGAAAACATTATTCGTCAATAAAATCTATGCTGAACATTCGCAGTTCTAAGACTTTGCCCCAAGCAAGAAAAAATAATTTCACCAGAAGTCACAAAACCAATGCATACCAAGGATTCTATCCCACTGTTTGCATTCAGATTTAACAGATTAACAGAGTTGGAAGGGACCTTGTAGGTCATCTAGTCCAACCCCCCGCCCAAGCAGGAGACCCTACACCATTTCTGAAGGATGGCAGTCCAGTCTTTTCTTGAGAGCTTCCAGGGATGAAGCTCCCACAACTTCTGAAGATGACATGTGTTCCGTGGGTTGATTTTTCTCACGGTCAGAAAAATTTCTCTCCTTCATCAGTTTCCATCCTTTATTCCTTGCCGACCTTCAGGGGTCTTGGAAAATAGTTTGACCCCCTTCCTCCTCTCTGTGGCAGCCCCTCAAATATTGGAAGACTGCTATCCTGTCTCCCGTGGTCCTTCTCATCCCTAGACTAGCCAGGCCCAGTTCCTGCAACCGTTCATTGTATGTTTTAGCCTCCAGTCCCCTCATCATCTTGGTTGCTCTTCTCTGCACTCTTTCTAGAGTCTCAACGTCTTTTTTACAGTGTGTCGACCATTCTGCCACGGTTGGGCAGAATTCTAGTTCTGATTTTCATATGAAATAAAAAAAGAAAAAAATGGCCATGGGTTTCTCAATGGCTGGTCTCTGGGTTTGGCTTTCCTGCCCAAACATTGGCACTTTCTGCTGAGGCCCACCCTCCACTGCAGAGAAAAGGGTCACCTGAATGCAACACCCCTCGACATCCTTCTGGGGGGGACTGGGCACAACTGGAATGCTGGGGACACAGGGCAGTAATGCTTTGCACCACACACCACACATTCACACATTCACTACACATTCACAAAGTGTGCACTGATCAGAATGTCCAATCACTCATTTACTGGTACTTCTCTCAAAACCATCACAATCACCCACATTCTCTCCAATTCCCCCCATTTGAACATCTTAAAAAAAAAAAAAATTAAAAAGAGCACAGTGGTAGCACAGTGGACTAATGCACTGTTATTAACATCAGCTGCCTGCAATTACTGCAAGTTCAATTCTCACCAGGCTCAAGGTCGACTCAGCCTTCCATCCTTTGAAAGGTAGGTAAAATGAGGACCCAGATTGTGGGGGCAATAAGCTGACTTTGTATAAATATACAAAAGGATGAAGGCTATTGCTTAACGCATTGTAAGCCGCCTTGAGTCTCCGGAGAAGGGCGGCATATAAATTAAAGCAAAAAAAAAAAAATCTTTTATTTTCACAGTAGTTTATGTTATAGTAAACCTCAATAAAACTGTAAAAAGGGGGGGGGAGGAAATCAAGCAGAAGTCTTGACTCAAGTCAAGTCCGCTCCCACAGAGAGGGTCTCCTCAGGGTGCCATCGGCCAAATTATGTCGGCTGGCAACACCCAGGGGGAGGGCCTTCTCTGTGGGAGCCCCTGCCCTGTGGAATGAACTGCCCCCCAGAAATGCGTAAGATCTCCGACCTCCGTGTATTTCGCTGTGCCCTCAAAACCTTGTTGTTCCTCCAGGCTGGGCTATCAAGGTAAAGATTTTAATTGGGTTTTAAAAATGGGATTTTAAATTTGGGGTTTTAAATTGAGCCTATCATTTAATAATTTTAATAATTTTAAATTTTTGTCTGTCTTTGTGCTTTTAATCAGGCTGTACACCGCCCTGAGTCCTCCGGGAGAAGGGCGGTATAGAAATAAAATTAATAAATAAATAAATAATAAATAAGTCTCTTTCCTACAACCCACACTGATTTGAAACAGCTTCAGAGAAAGAACTACACAATACCACGCACCCTTTTCTATTAGCCCTGATGGCCAAAGGTCTCCTGTGTCCATAGTGAAACTGACCACCTGAAGTTTGAACTTTTCAATTCAGGATCTCCTCCCTGATATAGAACTTTGACTTTCTAGCACTTCAACAATGAAGAAGGTTGAAAAACATTGACAGTTTATGGGGTTAATCAGCTCCTTCTTCCTGCGCCTTGGTAGTACAGTGGTCTAAGGCACCCTGTTATTAAGCTGGTTATTAAGACCAGCTGCCTGCAATTACTGCAGGTTCGAATCTCGCCAAGGCTCAAGGTTGACTCAGCCTTCCATCCTTTCTAAGATAGGTAAATTGAGGACCCGGTTTGTGGGGGCAATAAGCTGACTTTGTATAAATATACAAAAGTATGAAGGCTATTGCTTAGCACATTGTAAGCCGCCCTGAGTCTCCGGAGAAGGGCGGCATATAAATCAAATTAAAAAAAAAAAAAACTTTGGCCACTCAGGAAAATGTTACTCAAGAATAAAAAAGTCATCTATTGCCCAAAGGAAAGCTTCTTCCTGCTTCTGTGAAAGGGAAGATTGGCTACCAGGGAAGGTGAGTGGTCAGGAGAAGGACCAGATGCTTCCTTTCCTCCCTAGCTTAGCTCTCCATGGCCACTGCTGATGTAGTCTTTGCCTCCTGCAGTGAAATCACTCTGACCTCACAATGTCCAGGGTGAATGTAAGGACAACAATAAACGCTTTGAAATGATCCAGATCTTCCTTTACTGGGTGCTCAAGGAGTTGGCAACCAGCTTCAGTTCCTCCAATCGTTCCCATCGGATCTTTTTTTGTGTGCCATGGCAGTGAGGAATTGGGCCCTCTCTCTCTCTTTGATGGAATCCCTGGTTGTTGTTGTTTTTATTTGATTTATATGCCGCCCTTCTCCGGAGACTCAGGGTGGCTTACAATGTGCTAAGCAACAGCCTTCATCCTTTTGTATATTTATACAAAGTCAGCTTATTGCCCCCACAAACTGGGTCCTCATTTCACCTACCTTAGAAAGGATGGAAGGCTGAGTCAACCTTGAGCCTTGGCGAGATTCGAACCTGCAGTAATTGCAGGCAGCTGGTCTTAATAACCAGCTTAATAACAGGGTGCCTTGGACCACTGTACTACCAAGGCTCTGGTTTCTCCAGAAAGCTCATTCAGAGGCAAATCGTTGCATTTAGAGGCATAGCTGGGGAAAAGAGGAGGTTTGGGCTATTCAAGAGGAGGAAATGGAAACCATGATAAAAAAATAAGTCAGAAGAAAACCCATCAGGTGAGACAGGTCTAAACCCAATTTGGGGAAATCCCTGACTTCTTTTTTATTGGATCCACTCATATCTTTGATACTTTATTCAATGGAGTTTTATATCTACTTCCAATATATATTTCTCTAAGTATTTTTTTTTACAGAAATAGCTTTTTAATTCTGTTTCTTCCTCACATCTAAAGTTCAGCAAAGGGAGTGACAGAACAGAGGGAGGAAAAGAAATATAAGTTGCAAATCAGGAAAACAAATATCCTGCTAAACTGTCTTGGTCTATTTCTCTGTGGATGAGAAAGAGACTTTGAGATCCTTTTACATTTTTAGGAGGAATTTCAATCCAGGAGCCTGAATAGCTCAACAGACAGAGCACTATAATTTAACACCAGCTGTCTGCAATTAAAGTAAGATCGAATCTCACCAGGCTCAAGGTTGACTCAGCCTTCCATCCTTTCTAAGGTAGGTAAAATGAGGACCCGGTTTGTGGGGGCAATAAGCTGACTTTGTATAAATATACAAAAGTATGAAGACTATTGTTTAACACATTGTAAGCCGCCCTGAGTCTCTGGAGAAGGGCGGTGTTGTGGCCCCGCCCTCTGAGCCTATCTCATCAGAGGAAGAAAGCTCCAAACATGAAGAAGAGGAGTCAGCCAGGCCTCCCTCTCCAGGCCCCTCCCCTCTGGCACTGTCTCAGGTGCCGGCCGAGGGAGAGGAGATTAGCCAGGAGCCAGGTGTCTCGGATGAGAGCGAAGGAGAGCCGTCATTCCTGGATGCACACCAACGAAGGCATGATAAACGGTTGCAGCAGTTAAGGAGGCGTGCTAGGGATTAGAACTGAGTCACTGGACCACACCCCAGAGACTATATAAGAGAGGGTGGTGGCTGGTAAAACTCCGTGACGAACAAAAACGAACTTTGGCTAGTCACTTGAACAACGTCTGAAGCTGCCGAAAGTGATATTGTTTTGCTGGACTATTTGCAATGCGTATGTAATTTTGTGTTATCTGTTGCAGTAAAAGCTCTTGGCAGACGGTGATTATATTGCTGCCAAGTTTGAGATAATGACCTGTGTGCATGCCAAGTACTTTCTTAACCCTCGGCTGGCTGTGTTTGTGTGTGTGTGTGTGGACAGGGACAGATCAGGCGGCATATAAATCAAATAAAAAAAAACTCCTTGGGGGTCCCTTCTTCGAGCGCCCAAGTATTTATATTTGGAAGAAGCCTCCATTGTGCAGGGAGTAGGTAAGTGTGTATATCTCAACCTTCTAATGGAGTGACTGAGGCTAAACTACATGATCCCCTCAACCCCTTTTATCTCCTTCCAAGGACATTGTAAAAAGAAGGAAAATGCTCCTTTCTTCCCAACCATTTTTTCCCTTCCCTTTCATTCTGGGGCATGTGTGCTGGGGCGAAGGGCTTTGTGCCTGGGGGACTAATGGGTATT